GCACATTGCCGGCTCATGTTGAGCTTCTCATCCAGCAGTACCCCCAAGTCCTTCTCCTCAGGGCTGCTCTCGAGCCACTCTCCACCCAGCCTGTGTCTGTTTGGGATTGCCCCGACCCATGTGCAGGACCCTGCCCTTGGCCTTGTGGCCGAAAAAAGCCCACGTGGTAAATTTGCATGAGAAAAGTCAACGTAACAATCTATTCCCAACATCCAAAAAGTGCTAAAATACCTTTAATGCACAGTACTGGTGCCTGTTTATTCGCATGTTCCTGTCACTGTATCTGTCCAGGGGCGTAAACATGATGCTGAAGGGCCCTGCCCAGTGACTGAAGAGCATGAACAGACTGTGGCGCAGGCTCTGCTGCGGAAAGACGCTTCTCCTCTGGTGCACTGCAAGAGAAGCACAGTCAGACACGCTCCGCTCGGCACTCCGGGGCCTACAGCACGTCAAACAGGGACCCGGACCCAAACAATGGATATAAAAGGAAAAAATCAGTGTAAAGGCACATTATTTCCACATCATAACAGCCAGATGTAGGTTTACTGCTGTCCTGTTTCATGCCACTCGTGTACAGAATAAGTTTTTTAGTAGTCTAGGAAATTTAAATGCACTGCCAACCAACCAGACTTCTGCTACACAAGAAACTTACTCACATGCTCCCAAACAGTACCAAAAATCCCTCTTAAAAACTCATGCTGTTGATGTTATACACAAAACTGATAGCATAAATTATTTTTAGGAAAGTACTGTTGATGTTATACACAAAACTGATAGCATAAATTATTTTTAGGAAAGTACTGTTGATGTTATACACAAAACTGATGGCATAAATTATTTTTAGGAACGTATTCTGAAACCTCAGAGAAAAAGAGGATTTTTGATTATTTTTTTCATTTTGGATTTGTTTGGGGTTGTTTTCCTGAAATGCACTGCATATTAAAAGCAGTTATCAGAAGTTACTGAAGCCTTTCTACATACCTGGAACATTCTGAATGATGTTTGCCACTAAGGCACTGAAATGGCATCGGATATCTTTCAAGGTATCGGAATCCTTTTCGTTCTCTGCTTCCAGGAGCTGTCGCGTTAGATCGACATACTCCAGCAAAGTGTTGTTGAGGGAATGTGTTTCATTATCAAGGCCACCACTTGCACTTCAAAAAAAAAAATCAAATAGTGTGATAAATACATACATTGATTTTTGAAAACAATGGTTACTTTTTCTGTTTAGAAAAGCCTACAGCCTCATCACTGCAAAGCTTTCGGTCGAAGTCATTTCTTCACCCAGCTCCTCTTTTAGCAAAAGCAAATAATGCAGCCCGACTGTCAGCAGTCACTCATCCTTCCGCAGAATGAGTTCTTACACTGGCAACAAGTGTGTGAAAGAACAAGAACAAACCTCAAACACCCCAGCCACCACCAAACCCACACGATTTGTAAACCAGAAGAACTCATTACTACTGCTTGACTATAGACATCCGTGTTACCTACTGATTTTTGGGAGTCATTCCAGATGTTCAGCGCTTCTTGACATGCTACTATCAGCAGATGAAAGCAATTTCCTGATTTCATATATTCATTTCCCATTTTCAGAGAGGAACCTGATGAGGTTCAACAAGGGCAAGTGCAGGGTCCTGCACCTGGGGAGGAACAACCTCATGCACCAGTACAGGCTTGGGGTGGACCTGCTGGAGAGCAGCTCTGCGGAGAGGGACCTGGGTGTCCTGGTGGACGACAGGTTAACTATGAGCCAGCAGTGTGCCCTGGCTGCCAAGAAAGCCAATGGGATCCTGGGGTGCATCAAGAAGAGTGTGGCCAGCAGGACAAGGGAGGTTCTCCTTCCCCTCTACACTACCCTGGTGAGGCCTCATCTGGAGTACTGTGTCCAGTTCTGGGCTCCCCAGTTCAAGAAGGATGAAGAGCTACTGGAGAGAGTCCAGCGGAGGGCTACAAGGATGGTGAGGGGACTGGAACATCTCCACTACGAGGAGAGGCTGAGGGAGCTGGGCTTGTTCAGCCTGAAGAAGAGAAGGCTGCAAGGGGACCTTATAAATGCCTACAAATATCTGAAGGGTGGGTGTCAGGAGGATGGGGCCAAGCTCTTTTCAGTGGTGCCCAGTGACAGGACAAGGGGCAATGGGCACAAACTGAGGCACAGGAAGTTCCGTCTGAACATGAGGAAGAACTTCTTCCCTCTGAGGGTGACGGAGCACTGGAACAGGCTGCCCAGGGAGGTTGTGGAGTCTCCTTCTCTGGAGATATTCAAGACCCGCCTGGACAAGGTCAGGGGGGTTGGACTAGATGACCCACAGAGGTCCCTTCCAACCCCTACTATTCTGTGATTCTGTGATTCTGTGATTTTCACTGCTTTAGCATCTGACTAGATGTCAGCACTAAACTAAATAAGGGGATTAAAGCCTACACGTGATTCAAACCTGGCCTCCTCTGAAAAACAATTGTTAGAAGGGCGATTCCTTTCCTCTCGGCCTCCTCGCATCCTTCCACATTTGTACTGAAGGTAACAACTAAGAAGCGCGTCCTGCCTGACGAAGGCAAGAAGAGGAGGGTTATGGTAGCCCTCAGTGGCTTGCTAGCTTCCACCACAGAGTCGGACTGGCCTCAGCGAGAAGAGCTGATGAAGTTCCAGCGTGCAGACTGTGGTGAGAAGATACCCTACAGACGCCGACTAAACACCAGCGAGCACCTCGAAAGGTTATACAGGAGAGCCCGATTTTCACGGCTGGGCTCTGAAAAATCATCATGCCAAAAGGAATAAAGGCATTTTAGCAATGCTTCTGGGTAAACATTCTGAAATATACTGGAGTAGCTTGCTTAAAGATTGAGAATTTCACGCTGAGGATATTGCTGAGGTTGGCAAAGCAGGATCTCCGCGCCGCTGTCTGGCAGAACGGAGGAGCCAGCCCAGCCATCCCCTAGCCTACCTGCTCTTACACAGTGCCACCAGCACAGGAATTCAAAAAATCTGTAAGAGACTTGTAAAGCATACACCAGAGCTTTAAGTCTTCATTCAAAGTGTCCCTACGCACAAGTAGGGTAAACTGAGGAAAAAACCCAACCGAGTTAACATTCTGCCTCCCCTGGAAAGAAAAAGGCCCAATACTAAGGAGCAGCAGCGTTCTCTGCGTAGGGCACGCCGAGGAGCATCAGGACTCCTGGGAAGGAAGGGTGTCAGGAGGATGGGGCCAAGCTCTTTTCAGTGGTGCCCAGCGACAGGACAAGGGGCAATGGGCACAAACTGAGGCACAGGAAGTTCCGTCTGAACATGAGGAAGAACTTCTTCCCTCTGAGGGTGACGGAGCCCTGGCCCAGGCTGCCCAGGGAGGCTGTGGAGTCTCCTTCTCTGGAGATATTCCAGCCCCGCCTGGACGCGGTGCTGTGCCCCCTGCTCTGGGTGACCCTGCTTGGGCAGGGGGTTGGGCTGGGTGACCCACAGAGGGCCCTGCCAACCCCTGCCATGCTGTGATTCTGTGATGGCCTCGCCAGCGCTGCCCTTACCTGTGACTAATGACACCAGCATCTGCCAACAGCTCAAATATTCGTACTAGTTGTACTCGTAAAATATCTCGACGCCTGCGCCGTTTCATGTTCTGTTCAACAGAGGAAACATGAAATTCAACGAAGCAGAGGAAAAACGAAGTATAAAACCAGCGTGCCATATAAATGCATTCTTATATCTGCACCACAACTGGCATCAATTAGCAGGGGTGCCAACCTTTAAAGACGAGTTACCAAAGCTGCCAGCGATTTTAATAAACCAGATAATGAACAAAATTTTTCCCTGCTGCAACTCCAAGATATACTGGGTTTGCTACTACAAGTATTATCAAAATAATATGGTTTTATCAGTCTCCTGTCGCAAAGAGCAACGTGTAAAACGATGAGCTGAAATACAAATGCCTGTCTTTCTACGTCTCTGCACGCTAGGCTGACTGAACACCCTACAGCCCAGCAGCATTCTGAAACAGAAGCGATGTTCCTTCCCATCATCTGTACCTAGTTACAAATTCATTACTAATAAGAATATGACAGTTATCACAAAAAATACTGAGTAATCCCCTCCAGGTTTGTGTTTGCAGAGATTATTATTTCTATGAATATCTACAGAGGCTTCTAAACCCTGCTGCACAATATGCTCTCTCCTATCAGAAAATGTTTAGTCATAGCAGTCAGTCAAGTCAGCTTACAGCCTTTTTTCATTTAAAAAAAAGATAAAGTTGGTAGCAGAGCTCTGTTCTGTGTCTTAGGTACTACCAATTGCAGGCACGTTACTGATGACACAAAGAAGCAACAACTGTGTAAAACCATGCTTAGGTAAAAGGAATTAAAAGAATGCGGAAAAGGTTACAGTCACTTTTTCATCCTTTGAAACAAAGCGTCTCTGATACAGGAATAATACAGAGCTCAAAACAAACACAAAGCTTTTCTAATGGAAACACCTCACAATCATTTAAAAAAGTAACATCTCGCCTTTTTCTCTGCTATACTGACAGTTTTTAGGTGCAGAAATTAAACAACAAAACTAACATTTATTTACCACCATTTGTGAGCAGACAGTTAAAACTGTGTACTGAATATAGTGAAAAATACGTAATTACCTCTGGCCTTCTTTCAAGTGCTTCCTTAATTATAGGATGTAGTTCTTCTATTAGTTCCCTGAATTCAAAGAAATTAAAATGATAAAAACAAGCATTAAATTAACATCTCAACTGAAAGATGTTTCGCAGCAGTAAGTCTTCCAATATAACTTAAAACACCCTCAGGTTTTCCTTCTTTACCTGTAGGGTTCTGAAATAAATCAGCATTTGAAAGAAATGTTTTCCTGAAAGGTATGCTCTTGATTTAAAGACACACTACCAAAGGGGTCTCTCCATCATTACCACTACATTTGCCTTCGCCAAGTATCACGGCGTATTTCTGTCACAGATGCTTTTCATTTCTGTCCACATTCAGGGTTTAACCAAGCCTTCTGGTGCAAACAGACACTAGCAGAAAAAAACAGATTTTGGCAGCTTATGGTACAACGCTCTTTCAGTTGCCGTGATGCATTTAGCGGTTAATAAAGATCATTTCTTTCTTAAGGTAATGCTAAGCTGACAGAAGTCAGAGCAGTCTCTATGAAAACCAGAAAGCCACGTGCTCCGACGCTGTGGTTACATCCCCGCGTCGCCCTGAAGCTCCCCAGTCTTCGTCACCGCTCGGCTCCTCCCGCCAAGCTGCGACGCCCTCGCGACTCCAGACAGCGGGCAGGGACAGGGGCAGGAGATCGGCACCGTGGGTCCACGCAGACAAACCACCACCGTCAGAACCACGCTGGGTTTTCACGGTGAGTGACTGGCTCCTCCACCACACCGCCCAAAGGTCCTCCTTCCAAGAATGGGCCCAGGCCATCAGCAAGCTGCACAAACTCTGGCGGTACGCTCAGTTCCAGGAGACTTCAGCGTGATGAGGGATTGTTTTACACTTTCTTTCAAACGGTGAAAACACAGAAAAGAATTTGGAAGAAGCTTTATTTGTGCTAAAACATAGTGAAGGGTCTGCTTCCAGTGGAGAGCAGGAGTCACCCGGACAAGTTCATACGATCAGTATCAGAAAAGAAAAGAGAAAAAGAATATTCTACCAAGTTTAAGTGGACTGCATATACATATAATCTATAATGAAAAAAGTTCCCGAGTAAAACACGCCAAGTGGTGAGGAACACTGCTCAAAAAGACAAAACCAAAGCAACAAAGCAGAGCAGAGCTGCACGGGTGAAGGGTGGGCTCCGGCGAGCCCCTGGTCTGAGTGGGCACACTGGCCAGAGGAAAAAAGCTAGAGGTCAGAAATCAAACGTGAAGCGGAACAAAGAAATCACAAAACTGGTGAGCATCACATCTATCTTCTTTTAAGTTTGCTAAATGAGTTGTTTCTGATTTAGAAAACAAGGATTTCTGGTGAAATCCTTTCTGAAAGCATTTCTAGACTTGTAGAAGACTATTGTAATTTAAACAGTTCAGTAGATATTCAGGGTCATGGGACAAATTCTTGCTTTACTCCTGGTAGGCGAGTAAAGTCAGATATGATATACAATCAGAAGATTACCAAAGGAGTAAAACAGAATACTGTAACTGAGGACTTGGCATTCTGGTTTCAAATCTATCTTTGGCTCCTCATCAGCTGTAACATGGGACCTGTGACTGGAGAGAAGCAGCACCTCAATGAAAAGCAAGAGCAGTAGGGATCCCTGGTTTCTTCTGCAGAAGCAAGCTGGTTGCTAGAGCACGGTACAGCTTCCTAACTCTGCATTACAGGAGGCTGGCTGCTGGCAGAGAACATCTGGTGCTGAGCACTGGCCTTCCCAGAAAGCTTTCTTCCCCTCGGATGTTCTCCATACCCATCCTCCATAAAGCAGAGAGCCGTCAGCGGAGGGCAGCGGCACAGAGATGAACTTTAAAGCTCACGGCTTCCTGGTGGAGAGCGGCCTTTTCACCGCAGGGGATTTGTACCACACCTTGGCAGTACGTTAGGATCTGCAGAGAAGTAAATTTCAGCTGAGGCAGCAATGCCACAATGGCTAGATAGACCCTTTTGAATTCGACATTTATATAAAGATTTGTCACAGTACGGGTAACCCAAAGTTTCGGGTGGGGAGCAGGATGTGCCACGAACTTCAGAAGCTTCAGCGCCAGTCAGAAAACAACTGTAACTGGTATCATCTTCCAGCTTCATCAAAAAAATCTCTTTCTGAATGCAGTTATCATGTGTCTCCTACACACAAAAGGCTCAGTAACACATGTTTGTTGGAAATACCGACACAGAGAGTTTAGTAACTCTTACAAATTTGATTACAATTAACATTTCAACTGTTTGTAGTCCACACAGTCTGTTCTCTCATGTACAGGCAGCCTTTAATATCTGTAAAAGGCATCTGTTTATTGTTTCAGTGAACTTCTTTTTCTTTATGCAGACATGACCTCTCTATACAATTATTTCAACCTCTAATAAATCTTTATCACACCACTAAACGCTAGAAAACACAATGGTAATCGGTTTTCACAGCTTTTTTAAAATTCTTACCAGAAAAGCAAAGCAAACCTTGTTTTCTGAGCTCCGATTCCCCAGCTCTGTAATCAATTAGCATAAAAACAGATGAAACACAGCCGTTACCTAAAAGCTCCTGGGTTGGTCCTGCCAAGTCCCAGCACAAGGGATTCTGTAATTTCCAGGCTCTCGGAGCGCATCATTGGAACGATCTGCTTAAAGAGGGAGGAGGGGGATGGAATGCCAATAACCTAACAAGAAAAGCAGAATAAACCAGAATGAAGTAGTTACCAAACAATCAGGCAGTTTGACGTCAAAATATCTGCTGTAACTTTACAGGCTGCTCACACTGATCAGTGACTTCAAATGATAAAAATGAGCTTTCTTATTGTTGACATGGAAAAAGGCTTTCTGAAATAGTAAAGCAGTACTAACTACTTCTCCATTCCTCGTGCAATTGAATTTTCATTGGCAGATGACCACGAAGGGCTCAACACGATGAACAGATGCTTTGCACACTCAGTGTATCCACGCTCCTCAGGGTGGACTGCTGGTGTCCAACTCCTTAGACTCTGTCCTGGCTCTCAACGAGGACAAAGCTCTCAGTCCACAGATTCTCAGATTTGGGGAAAGGATCTTGGCAACAAACAAGGGGGATAGACTGTTTCTGCCCCAAATCTGCTGCATAGTCCATGAGCTACCTTCACCTCTACTGGACCTTCTACAGGAAGCCAAGAAGGAGAGAAGCAAAAAGAAGCAAAGATGCAGCAAAAAAAAAAAACCCCATACCCAAGCCCTGCAGGTGAAACAAAGCAAGGCAGGCAGAAAACTGCGGCTGGGAAAAATGATACCAAGAACATCACGCCCAAACAGGTCACTGTTCCAGTTATCAAAGTGGGAGGCCGTTTGCTTAGAATTGCTGGAGTCTCCTGACAGCAAAAAAACCCCTTAATGGGAAACAAAACATTTACCACTACAGAAGACTTTAAGACTGGGTTAACGTTTTCATGACACGATTAGATTCTGTGTTAAAAAACATCAGCAGAAAAGCCTCTACAGCATGGACTGGGAGAAGTGAACAGACACACCACCCTAAAGAAATCAAACACAAATGTACACTAAAACATGTTGTCAGGCAAATTACACCAGTTTCTAAGAATCATGACGGTTATTATGTGCTTCTGTTTCCAATAACACACAGACTTCTTCACAGTAAGCATGAGAAGAACCTACTCTCGAATCAATGCTATAACCACTGTCCGGAGTCGACGCCAGCGTCTCGGGAGGGGAACATCTCACAGAGCCCGTGGAGGTGGAGGAGGTTGAAGAAGATGCTGCACTGCAGCAAAGAATCAGGTAGTTTCTCCAGAGCCCAATGTAGGAGTCGCTGCTTGTAGTAGTATTCACTTTCTTTGCATTGATAGGGCTGCTATTGGAAAAAAAATTAAGAAAAAGGAAATGCTCAGTATAGTAAATAAAGATTATGAGGTTTCCCCTTGTTTTCCTATTGAATTTATTTTTCAATTATGTATCTACCATTGCTTCCAAAACTGTTAACATAGTAAACTCTGAATAAATTATTCAGAGTTATTCATTATACTGAATAAATTATTCAGAATAGTTTTGTACAACAACTATAAAAGCATACATCTATAAAAGCATTATATTAAAATAAAATATATACATATATAAAAGCATCTGTCGAACTACGATATAGCTGCAGGCATGCACTGATTGATTAATCTTTACAGCAGGTAACTTTTTTCCAGATAGAACTGCTTTCATCTTTTGTTCCATAAAGCTGAATTAAACACACCAAAAATATTAACGCTGCATATGTCACCTCACTGAAACATAATGACATTACAACGATGACAAACCTTGAAAAAATTCTGAGTATAATATATTATATTTACTTTAGAAATTAACTTACTTTATATCCACTTGTGGAGACAGCAGCTGGAGTCTGGTATAAGCAAACGTCCAAGCGTAGCTTACGGCTGTTGGGCAGTGTTTGGGGAGATTTTCCTGCTTCATAAAACTCGAGAGGCTTATAATCCAGGGATCTTGGCCTTGAGTCACGTGTGCAAATATCCAAATATGTGATGGACTGACCACATCAAACTGGTGGCTGATGGGGGAGGAATTCCAGTCAGCCAGAGTCTGTAAATCTATTGAACTGGGGCAGTACAGTAAAGTAGTCTGTGTGCATAAAAAAGAGAACAAGGCAATATTTAATACCCGTGCATATTAAATAACAGTACCTTCACTGTAATAAAGCATCAGTGTCAAAACCACATTTGGAATAGACAGAAGACATTACTTCATTTATGTTTTTTTCCAGAGGTTTCAAATGTAGACAGCTACATAAACGTGCTGTTTGGGAAGGAATTGGTATTAGCAGACTTCAAAAGCCTTACTGCCAAATTCCAACTTGTTTCCTAAACCTAAAACCAGAAGAGTTTCCCTTGATACTTAAGAGATAATGATAAATACATAAATATGGATTTCCTTTGTTATTCATTGACAGTTATTGTAGCTTTCATCGCGGATCAAGGACGCTGACTGTTCCACACTGCATCACTGCAGAAAAGGCAGTGGTCTTTGCTTCAAAGAAATTGTCACCTATGAGCAAGAGGAGAAAAACAAGGTACAGAGAGAGCTGCCTGTGCGTACGCGGTGGTGATAACGACACACTACTGAGCAGAAAGTGTATGTCAGCCTCACAACGCTCCTCAAGGCTTTATTTTGGTTTTAGGTTGTTTGGTTTTTTTGGTTGGTTGGGTTTGGTTTTTTAAGATGATAAACTGGGGGTAAAGTTAGCGTGAACATAGTGGCGCTGTAATTTAATCCCAGTTTATCTGGGACAGTTTTGCAGAGTTACCTCAACTTACACCCAACTTAACATAAAAATTCTCCTACCTGGTCAGCCCCAGTGAGATGTATGAAGCTCTCCAGGATAGTAGCACTTAGCCTGTCCATTACATCTATCGCCAGCTCATCGTCACTCTGCAAAAGAAAACACACAAAGCATAAAAAGCTCCAAGAAAGCCAAGAGAAAAGCAGTTTCATCAAGCAGTCACCAGACCGGGCCATCGACTCGTACCTTAGAAATCTCCAGAAGTGTGAACAAGGCCCTGATCTCTCTGAGAACGCTGACAGCTAATCGCCTGGTGGCAGGCCGCGTGCTGCAAAGGATGACCAAGGCAAAGCCTTCCACCACGTGAAACACGCTGGAGTAGAGAGCCCTCTCCAGAGGCAGGGTATGGGCAGCCCCGTTGGCTGCACCACGCTACAGAAAAGAACGCAGAAGTTCAGCAAATTCAGAAAAAAGTAAACATAGCCAAGCTAAAGTTCCATTACTGGCAAGGGCAGAATTAATCACAAGGTATTTAGCTCTTTTTTGGCTACCAGTCCAATTGTGCTTTATGGGAATGGCACAATAGCAGCTACTTGGGCTTTTTAGTATCTCTCTGAATTCAGTCCAAACAATTCTCACAAGAAAGTCTTTCTTATTTCACTTTCTCACAACAACGATGCAGCGAGGGCAAAATAAAAATAAACAAGTAACACATAGGATTGTATAAAATTAAAATGCTTGTATCCTTTCTGTTTGCTAATAAAACATGATGCTTTTTTTTTTAGTTCTACTGTTTAACTACTACTTTATGTATTTCCAGTTACACAAGATGACTTTCGATGTTAAGCAAAAACATAGCCATAAATTAGTGTTTAGGGAACACTTAATAGTGTTAATTTTTTGGCAAAAAGGCTGATTTAAAATAATAGGTCCAAAAATCTTCAAGCGCTGGAAGAAAGTAAGCTGAATTTTTATTACTTAACAAAAACAATAAAGCCTACTGGTAAAATTGTGTGTGGGTTCAAACAACGTTTTAACATCAAAGGACCTTATTTAGAAATACCTGAGAATCTTGGTTTTTATGGTGCATTTGGGCTGCTTGCTTCCACTGATTTATGAGCTGCACTAACATTTTTACTGCATTGTCAAGAAGCGTTGGGTGGACATCAGTCACTTCGCGCACAATAAAATATACAAATCCTGAAAGAACATCTTCCCGCCAATCTGGAAAATCAAGCATTAATGCCTGGAGAGTATTGAAAGCCAAGGCACGAAGTTCTTCGTCCATGTGAATTGTCAGCCTGTTTAGAGAAAATACGGGTATCATCACCCCAGATCGGCACACCCTTCACCAGCCTCTACCCGTTACAGCTCGCCGCTAACGCTTCCGCCGTTACTGCGCGATGCAGAATGCTTCTGCACGCCTGTATTTTCTGCCCTGAATCTATCTCAGACCAGCTACCAACAGCAGGCACTACTGCTATAGCCAAATAATGCAAGGCTTCAGAAAATGTTGTATAAAGAAGTTATTTTCAAGAGAGAGGACAAGTCTTTCATCACTTCTTTGCGTGCATCGGAGCGACCACCTTAGAGCTCAGCAGGCAGCCACCCTGTGATGCACAGGTGGTTTTCTTCAAATTCAACTTGAAAAGAACAGATTATTTTTAAGGATAAAGCAGCTTTACGTTGGATATGAGAAAAAATTTGCAAAAATCCAGTTTGCCTATATACTTAAAAATACCTCTCAGTCTGCTACGATAGAAACTTCTCCAGTACTGTGTTATTATTTAATATTTTATGTCTTTTATGCCACTTACATCACTGGAGAAAAAGTGTTAGAAAAACCTTCGTCTCTAACATTATCACTCATTTCTATATGTATGTATCTCAACACACTACCTGAAAATGAATTTATAATTTCAAAGCTAAAAGCTATCCTTTATTTCTGCACCAAGATCATTCTTGTATTAAACTGGGAGAAGATAATATTAAAAAAAGGAAGGTTTATCACTCTAGTAATACGTAAAGGCTGTCTGCACACCCCACAACTATGTGTTCTGACTGAGTCCTCAGTTTACCCACCTGCACACACCCGGTTGTCCAGCTGTCTCAACTACTTATCAGTACTGATTACGCACATTCAGTTTAAATTGAGATAAAAGATGGGAGAATACGGGTAGTGTTGAATCAAAAAAAATGGAAGAAGGAAGCAGGATTAGTAGGGAAGAAGGAAAGAAGTTTCTTGTAGGTGCCTGTCTGACATTTTGGTAATGACAAACAAGAACGCCGTTGTGGTAATTTACAGCATTAGCAACAGGAAGGAGAAAAAAAAAGGGAAAAAAAGGATAATACCAGTGACAAAAAGATAAGGCAAGGTTAAACACCAAAGCAACAGAAATAAACTCCTACTTTTGAAAAATCCTCTCTAAAAAGAAAGGCAGGGTGCCCAGGATGAATCCACCCCCCCGCTGTGGCTGGCAGCCCTTGCCCAGCTGCAGCGGGCCGAGGAAGCTCGGATCCGGCGCGCAGCGGCCTCGCGCCACGCAGCGCGCTGACCGGCTCCCGGAGCATGTCAACAGGAATGTCCAGGAGAGCAGAATTCTGTATCCCTCACCTCGCCAGCAGCTCAATGAGGTCAGTCCTGCTCATGCCGTCTGGGATCAGCCTCGGGATAGCAGCAATACAGGTCCTGAACAGATCTATCTTCGGTTTCCTCTCGCCCCTACAAAAACAGTTTGTAACCAACTCAACAACAGGAAAATCTACTTCAGTGCACCACAAATATTTCCAAATTCACGTCAAAACTAACAAAAACTTTTATCGTCAATTAATGAAATCAGCCTTCGTTTAGGAGTCAACAAATGCAATGCATGAATGACGGCGTCTGCAACATGACAGCATCCAACTGATACGACATTACTGCAACTCCGTACGCACGTGATCATGTCTTCGGGCTCTTTGTTGGACATCTGGACGCTGGTCATGCACATGGGCCTTCCAACTTCTTTGTCCAAATGCCTAAGAATGCTATCCAGCGCTTTTCTGACTTGAGGGTAGTAGATGGACATTCCTGAAAAGCCAAAGAGTTCCGATCACCTCTTTCATTCGTTCTCATTTAATTTTCACTATTATTAAAATATTTGCTACTTCCTCAGCTCAGGACAAACTTCTTGTACAGAAGATGACATGAAACACACACTTGAAGTGTCAAAAGAAATGCACTTTAAATGAGTAGTAGGAGATATTCTATGAAAGTAGAAGTTTCTTTCAGAAAGAACATCAGCAATGAAGCAACCATCAGTTCCTTCTCTGTTTTCTCAAAGCTGAGAATTTTAGTTCTAGTTTAAATTTTACACGTTGAAACAGTCCTTTAGAGATGATGACTACCTCACCCACAGAAGATCAACAGAGCACAGAGAGCGGAACTGTCCTACTCCACTTCAGCTGTGGGACATGTGGGACATTCTAGAGCAGCACTGAGGGAACAGAAATAGCAATGCTATTTACCCCACTCATCGAACTCGGGCTCCTTTGTGCCATCCCAGCTCAAAAAGAACTTAGCTGATGCTGATTGTATGTTCCTACTCTGTGTCACTGTTCTAACTGAAAATATTGGTGAGGAAGCGCTCAGAGGAAGCTTTGCGTGTTGCTGCTGCCATGGGTTATTGGTAAAGCCATCTGTACACCCTGCTGTAACGGGGTACGTAGTCAAACGAGCCAGATTCCACGCAAGGCTGCGTGTGGTCCATCCACCATCGGGTTTCTTCTGTTGTGTTTTAATAGATCGTCATTCCTGCACATCTGAACTATGTTTTGTCTTCTCCATTCCTAGAGTGTGGAGAAGCGGTGTGTTTTTCAGAACAGTTTCTGTCTAGAAAAAGTACTAGCAAGTGCTGCATTGTAAGAGAAAATAAATCACGTGTAATGTTCATCGTTATATATGAGACTGCATGGTTGTGAAATTTCATCAGTACAACACTTACCATATAACTGTCACGCAAGATCTGCTGCATGACAAAGAACGTGAGGTCATTTTGGGTAGGGGATAATTGGGATTTGGAGAAAGCTTTCAAATGCGTGTTGAACATGCTCTAGAAGTTGACCCTAGCTATAACTGAATTCAAAACTCCAAGTCAAGCACTACACAGCAAAGGAGGTACTCTTGGAAGTCATTTCAAAAGAGATTAAGATGAACCTGTTCATAATTCTCAGGTATTTGTGCACGTCTTGCCAACTTTCACACAGAATGACACAGAATCACAGAATGGTGGGGGTTGGCAGGGCCCTCTGTGGGTCCCCCAGCCCAACCCCCTGCCCAAGCAGGGTCACCCAGAGCAGGGTGCCCGTTGCCCCTTGTCCTGTTGCTGGGCACCACTGGAAAGAGTCTGGCCCCATCCTCCTGACCCCCACCCCGCAGATATTTGTAGGCATTTCTAAGGTCCCCTCTCAGCCTTCTCTTCTCCAGGCTGAACAAACCCAGCTCCCTCAGCCTCTCCTCGTAGGAGAGACGCTCCAGTCCCCTCCTCATCCTCGTAGCCCTCTGCTGGACTCTCTCTCCTTCGTCCTTTCTAATTGAGGAAAAGATATCTCAGATTCATTGTGGGGGTGGGTTTTTTTGTGTCTCTTCTCCTTCCTCCCCCCTCCGTTTTCTGAGATCTGCCTACAGTAACCTTTCTCCCCCACACCCTCCACTACATAAACACTTCCAAAAAAGCCACCGATTTGGTCTCAGACACCAGAAGGTCAATATTATCTAGCAGCCCTCTCTAAACGATTAAAGCAATTCTGTTAAAACAGACTATCATTAGATGCTGGCTAACAATTAAATAGAGAAATAAAGTTACACAAACGTGCTGACTGGGAATAATTGAGAACACACATGCACGCACCGGAATGTCCACTTCCAAAAGAACACAACCCACCTATAACCTTTGCTTCCTCGTCTGTCAGGGTTTTATTAAGGAAGATCTTCTTCACGCGCAGAGTGTTTCCCGAGGGAAGAACAACTCCTGTCGTCGGCATCGGCGGCTCGCCGTCCTTCTGCTGCAAGCTATCTGCTATGACAAGGAAGACTCTGAGGCCAATATTCATCCTCTTCAACAGCAGAAAAAGGGGAGAGAAAACAGAACAAAGTATAACCTTCAAGTAACACAGACGAGGCAGCGCACAACGAGCATTTTTCCTCGCTTTTAAACAGACGGCAGCGGGGTTCCAGCAGGACAGGCGTTATTGGAATGTTACAGGCGAGGGGCACGAAAGTAATAAAATTGAAGCTTTCATCCTTCCCCACAACTCTGCTTCCAGTTAACTGCCTTGGCAGGGGCTGCTACACCAAATATTGTCTAGCACAGAGCACGAGAGGACTCCAGACGGATCTCGAGAACGAGACACTGAAGACAGACACTGCTCAAACGTCTCAGACCAGGCCTTCAGCCGGCAGAGCTCGGTACGGCTGCCCTGAGAAGCAGCAGAACAGCTGTATCGTGACAAAAACTCACACATGCTCGCTGAAATCATCGCTGAACAGAGTCTGAACTGCAGTACTGCTGCTGGCTTCCTCACCAGAACCGAAGCAGCCATGGTGCACAGCTACATCTGCTCCTTCAGTTCTAGCAGAACATCCCTGCAGGTACTCACTCCTCTGCCTTCATCCCAGCTCAAAAAGAGTTAGCCACTGTCCCCCCCAAAATCCCCCGATGCCCTGTTCTCCCTCCATGCAATAAGGAGCTGTTTTTTACCTCCGGATTAATAGTGAAGGTTTTCGGTGATTTTCCAACACTAAGAAGATCAAATATTATTTCTTTCATTGCAAAATCCAAACGTTCCTATAAAGGAAAACAGAATGATATGATCACCTCTTTTCTGTTCATATGGATAGCTTCATTTCTTGGTTTTGCACAGGTGCTGAGTATCACATCTTAAAAGTTTTAAAAAGAAAGTTTAAAAAAATATTCCTTTTTTTCCTATTTATTCATATGACTTAATGTTCTTTTTTTAAACATAGTACAATTCAACACCGCTCACCCTCTGATCTGGTTGAACCATTTCTCCCGAAACAATTCCCAGACCCTCCAGTTCGGGTCAAACACATTTCTACAGATGAGCCAAACTGGTTCACGTAACTAAAAACCAGTGAGAAAAAGCAGGGCCCTAGGAAACCAATCTACACAGGGAAGGGTGGGGTGTCCTGGCCCACCCCCAGACGACCAGAAGCAAATCCCCTGGGAAGTTACAGCACGGCCAAGCTATGGATAAGACAGGGAAATACACCTCTAATCTACGAGTCCCTGGATGAATCAGAGTTTCTCTTGTGAAGATCATATCCTGAATTTTGATATTCGGGCAACAGAAGCACCTAACACGATATAAATCATAACGCAACACTAACTACACACTACTGCATGCATTGCATATTTTTTCTGTCATCAGAGGCTAGTCTCCTGGCTAAATATAAGTGGATATTACTGCCCAAACGCTTTGTCCCTTATAAAAATATTACAATGGCATATACGAACTATATTAGTGTATTTTTATATAGATATACACCCCCCAGTGCAATACAAATGTAAATATTAATCATCCTAACGTTAATACACAACATTGATTAAAGTTGAAGTAAAATAGTTTTGCCAGAATAGAAACAGAACTAGTAATTTCATTTGTTATACTTCTTTGGGGAAATTCTACTCAAGATAGAAGACCACTAATTCAGTGCAAATATTTCAAAAACTAACCTTAAATTTCCATTTCTTCCAAATAACGTTCATCCTAATCTTCTAGCTCTACCCAGACGTATCCTTACCTGAGCAATGAACTGAATAATCTTCACAAATATATTCAGAGGCGTGTCTCGTGGGACCACACTACGCGATCCTTTTGGAAAAAGTGCTGATACGATGCTCATGAGACGGCTGTGGGAATTTAGAGACAAAAAGAAATCAAAAAAACTTCTTAAAATAACTTTATATAATGGCATAGATGCTACAGTTCAAATCTGAGGGGGGTTGCTACTAAGTAATACAGAAGCACGTGGCAGGTAGGAGCACCTACAGAAAGCAGCGCCCGCCGCCGTCACGGGCAACCGGCCCACGGGCTCACATCTAACGTGACCAGGATCCTGCTTTAAACCAGTCTCTGGTAGTCAGGAGGAGGGGCAAAATCAGAACAGCTATTCCAGACCCTCAAGATGCTGATTGATAAAGAAAACCTTTTCGTTTCCAGCCCATACTTAGTGCTGGCCACTTCACACGCCATTTGCTCCGGCACCCTCGGTGCCTTTTAATTTTACTGCATCTCCTGCTTCTTGTATCTCTGCCCTCTTCTACCCCTGCAAAGACAACTGTAGGCTCCGTTCTTTCTCCTTGTCAAAGTAATCAGGTTGTTTGGGTTTTCCCTATTAAGTTGAAGTCTCTGCTCCCCTGTTTGCCCAACCAGACCATCCCTCAGCTGGCTTCAAGACCTCTTCTGAGGTTCTTTCACCAGGGGAAAGCAATCCCACCAGTCAGTAGTTCAAAATCCTTTGCACAACGACCTTACCTTTGAGTTACAGTGTTGCTTTCACATTTTATTCTAATAACATAAACCCACAACAACCTATACAAAGATTCCAGTGCAACTCGGGACATTTTGGGATCTTTATTCTGTAAAATAAATGAAAAACACAGTTACTGTCGCCTGTGAGAAACTCAGAAGCTCTATTCTTGCTCTTTTGACTTCTGAGAATATTTTCACATTTTTCAAACAATGAAAACTGTTATGTTTAATACTGACTACAAGTTTTCATCTGCTTTCATAAAAGCCACAAGTATTTCCAATGCTACCTGAATATTTAACTAGTAATTCCACATTATTTTACGCACCTTTCACTCTGAGAGCGGAGGAGTAACTACAAAGCAGATATTCCTCTTGCGGTGAACACCAGGAGCGTGTTGCTTCCAAGAACTTTCCTCAGAAAGCCATTTCTGAGGTAAGGTAACAAACACCAACTTTACTGCAAACTAACTTAACGTTTGTCTAAATTATTGTCTTAGACTGGATATTAGGAAAAATGTCTTTACTGAAAGAGTGGTCAGGCATTGGACCAGGCTGCCCAGGGAGGTGGTGGAGTCACCATCCCTGGAGGGGTTCAAAAACGTGTGGATGGGGCACTTGGGGACATGGTTTAGCAGGCATGGGGGGGATGGGGGGATGGTTGGACTTGA